TGCCTCCGCCCACTCTAGGGCTCGTCCGGTTAGTTGGGACAAAATAAAAGTTATTTTCTTCTTATCAGTAGGAAAACTGCCAGGAGAGTTCTCAAAAATAAGACGGCATTGAAACAAAAAACCTTTACAGTCTTTCAGATTACCTGAGAACTTTTCAGGGAGACTAGGACGGAACTCTGGAGATGACGTCACAGCCGGTGACCTTAGAGGTGGAAGTGGATCCGGAAACGGACGTGCTGTTGATGCAGCGTTAGCGCTACCCATGTAGCCTGCAAAAGTTTTAAGCATTTGTTTTTGGTAATCGACCATGGTATGTAACTCACGGAGGGTTTGAGCTTGTCCTTGGATCTGAGCGTCTTGCTCCTCTAGCCTCCGACGGAGGTGGCCTGCTGGGCTTAGTGTTTGGCCGCAGTGTTCTGTCATGATTGGTTACAGAGTAAACCCAATATGCAGAACACACACAGAGGCTGATAAAAAGTTTAACAAGGTTTATTGTAAACACAAGCACATGAATATTGCACAGGAACTGGTTCGGGCCTGGGGGCAGGTTCACTGGAGTCTGCAGGGATGACAGTTAAGTTAGCGCATGGACTGATGAGTTATTAGTCTTTGAGTTTGCTGATGAATACCTTGAAGGAGTCCGGGTTTCTCTTTGAGAGAGGAAACTGTTGGGTCCAGAGACTGTTTGTTCAGCAGAGTCCAATAACTGCTTCAGCGTCTTACTTCTGACCTTGAGGGCAGACCTTGATTTGGGTTTCCAGCTCTTAGCCAAGAGCTGCAAGGGAATCCAGAGAAGAGTGGAGCTCACGAGGGCAGGCTAGACAGGTTAAGCTCATCCAGAGCTTCACGAAAAGACAGGATTCCTGTGAGGCAAAAACAAGGAACAGTTAGAATCTTATCTCAACAGGAGATAGCAAAGATTCTCAGGTTTACTAGGCTCAGGTGCTAACCAAACTAGATCAACACTGCGGCGTTGAGGCAAGGTCTGAATGCAGTTTAAATAGTGGATCCTCTGATGATGAGATGGGCCACAGGTGTGTTGGAGGCTCAGCTCAGGAGGACCCACGGCGCACTCTGCTGGAGGAAGGTGGTACAGCTCCAGATCCCAACACTACCAGGCCAGTAGCCCACGTCCGCCACCACGGAACCCCCCAAGAGCACCTTACTTTTCCAATTCATGAGGATAGTTTTCTCTGCGATACATAATGCAGTGAAGGCCATGCAAACTGATTTTTTCCCCATAGAGCTTCCCTCAAAGTCACCCAGCAAGCATACTGGAGGGGAAATTGGGATTTTACAACCCAGGCACAGTAATAGATCCTTACATACCTGTACCCAGAATCTCTGAACCGGCGTGCATAACTGTAATGCGTGAAAATAATTATCAAGTTGATAGGTTTTTTGTTTTTTTTTTAAAACAGACTTTTTGTCAGAAGAGGCATTCATTGTGCCTTTTTGTGGATCTCTCCACACAAAGGCACCAACCAGACACACAATAGCCTAAACACTTTAATCTTAGATTAAATCTGTTCTATTTTCAGAAAAAGATGGTTATTATTCACATTTTTACAAATCATTAACCTAAGTATTAAAAAGCATTAAATTGACACCTGCCAACCCACCAAATGTAGATAAGTTTTATGATGGGTGGGTGAATAAGGCCCCGTCCACACGAAGACGAACCCTGGCCTAAACGCACAAATTTTTCACCAAACCAGCCTCTCATCCACACGAAGCCGGCGTTTCGGGGGTCTGTAAACGATCTTTTTTTTATTCAGCCTTCAGAGTGGGAAGATTTTGAAACGCCGTTTTCGCGTCTCCATCTTTACGCTCTAACCGCATTTTTTTTTTTACACGCATGCGTCATAGCGTCGCCTCTAAACACGCATGCGCGACACAGTATCACAACAACAATGGCGCCGTACTGTGTTGAATGGTTGCTGCTCATGCTACTCCCCCTGCTGTCGGGCTTACAACAGAATCTTCTTCTTCTGGAATATCTCCAGGAAGAACAGAGCAATATCAATAACATAGTTCAGCACCTGAATTTTACTGAACCACGAAAATGGACCCGCAGGGCAACCATGTATAAATATTAGTGCGCATGCCCAACATTTCGTCGCCTATTTTTGCTTTGGCACCACAGCGCCACTTACAGGCCTGGCATACATTTTGCAGCGTTTTCATGCATTCGTGTGGACGATCACATTTATTTTACGTCTCCTTCTTTACGGCAAACGTTTTGGAAAATATCATCGTTTCATGTTCGTTTTGACTTCGTGTGGACGGGGCCTAAGTCAACATACCTGCCACATTGGCAGTAGCCAGTAAGACAACACGAGCCTGAGCAAGTGTTGTATTGCTGACCAATCACACAGCTTATTGTTATGTTAAGCAAACCCTGCTCTTTTCTTGGATTTTTAACCAGAATCTGGCGCCATATAATTGAACTGAAGAGACCACAGGCTGGTACTGACCAACAGAAATTTGAGGGGGAAGATGATTCAAAAGGGATTTGAAAAAGTTGTTTTTAAACAAAGTGGGAAGGAATGACAAGGCTCACGACTGGCGGGTATCACAACATTGTCAGGGCTGACATATGTATGGCTCAGAGAAATGGAGATCGGTGGAGACCACAGAGAACCGAGCTGCTGCAGAAGGAAGCAGAGGTGAGTTTCTCCTCCTCTTCTTCATTTTAGGACTCAGAGCCTCAAAGGGTTTTTCTAACGTTGCCTGACCTTGACTTTACAGTCAAATATGGCTTGGATTCTGTTAGTTACGTTATTGTTGTGACTGTTATCGTTGTTTTTATCTAAATGTTAATGAAAATATTAGGCTCGTCTTGAAACAGACATTAAACTTAAAATATGTACAAAAATAAGAATATATTTTGATATTCATAAGATGGAAAAAGAAAGAGTTAAACCTGGATGTAGACAGTGCCAATGTATCTGCTATACAGTTAATTGGATTTGCAGCTGGTTGTAAACTAAATAAATGACACCATCACTAAGATGATTGGATGTTTGCATTTCTGTAATTTTCTGTTCTAGATTAGCCAACAGCACTTGTTTATTCTGTACAATTTCAATACCCAAGCATTTTTATAAGTTGTCCATCTTTATTTTAAGCATAGAAAGTTTGGCTGTGTTATAAAAAAATAAAATAAAAAAATAAATAAACTTTAGCTGCTTGATTTAATAATCAACTGGGCTAGTAGCCAAAAAGTTGACTACATGCCCTGGTATCAAAAGTCAATGACCTTGTCTGTGTCAAGGGCGTAGGTTTGATTTCCACTTTGGTAGGGACACTATTGCTCCTAAGTTTCATTAATGCCATTTTACCTATGCAAAAATATGCATGCTTTTTTAATGCTTAATGTGAGCATCAGAGTGCATTTCATTTAAAGAGAAAAGCAGCATTTGTTGCTACATTTATACTAATTTTATAAGCACTACATACACTAGATGCTGTTTATAAATGTTTGAAGCGTCACTGGCTCTGATGAATGTGGAATTAGGACTTTTTTCCACTTTGAAAAGGTTTGCATTTAAACTTACCAGTGACTAAAACAGTGGGTAAATATGTGCCAATTTAACCAACTATAGTCTAAATATGCCCGTTAAATGAGGATTTATATATTTATTTACATTTAGTAGCATCATCCACAAAACACAACACTGAGAATGGGATTAAATTTATTCCAATATAAAATCACTTTTAACAATTATTAAAAGAAAATATAACACCATCTTGTCTGTAATGTAATAATATTCAAAATAAACAGCCGGATACAAAAATTTTTACCAAAAACTAATGTTTGTAATAATTAACTTATGAACTGCGTGGAAATCTATACATTTTTGGCTTTATCGTATTTTTAAAAGTAGAAATAGTCAAAGAAATATCAATATTATGTGGAACCATAATTATGCTTTCTAAACAAAAAACATCATATGTTTAGGCGCCATCTCATGTTGTTATACTCTATAAAAGAAATAACACCTGCTATTTATAGCTGAACTGCCTCAAAGGGACTTCATAAAATGAAAACAGTATTTGCAATAAATTATTGTTAACCCTCACATTTTCTTTTTCAGTTGGCTGTGGCTAAGAATCAGCAGCTTTCACCTGTTTTAGAGTAGATAGAATGAAGTTTTTTTATTTTTTTATTATTAGGACTAGTTTCGTAGCCTTATTTTATTTGAAGTAACTAGCGTGAATAAAATTCATATTTCTTGCTCCAAGCACACACACGCATACGGACTAGAAAACAGCCAATCAGGAAGAGGGAAGGCGGAACTTGAGGCAGAACAACCAATGAGAGTGGAGTTAAACAGATGAGTTACTGACTTTAAGGGACAGGACTCAGATGGAGCGGCAGCAGCAGCTGCTTAGCGGTGGAGCTGCTAGAGGAAAAGAATTGGCTGTGATCCCACACAGTGATCCACCACGCTGAATTTTAAATTATAAAAATGTTATTAAAATCCAATTATCGGTAGGGACAAATAGTTCGGTCCAAAATGTTGGTAGGAACATGTCCCTATGGTCCCTATGCAAACCTACGCCCATGCTCTGTGTAACTTTCATAAAAAAAACGATGTGTTTTAATATTCTATTTGTTTTTATTTGTTATAGACAGAGCAGCCCAAAAAAATCCAAGTAAACATCATAAAAATTTTATAAAATTTATAATTGTATAAAACTAATTGTTCTAAACCATAGAAACATTTTTTCTCTTTGCACTGAAAATCCTTCCTCTATAGAAATGTATCATTGTCTTTTTTTTTTTTTTTTTTTTTTTTTTTTTACAAAAAGAAGTGGTTTTACATCAGGACTTTGAAACTGATAATATCAATTCATGGGGTTTCGCTTTAGGATTTACAGAAAGAGAAACAGAGGACAGCTTTGTCAGAAGTTAAGCTCCGCCCATGTTTTGGGTGGTAGAGTATATAAAGGCTACGGTACTGACAGCAAAAACTTCCACTGGGTAAATTTTATGTTTGTGTGACTTTTTTGGAACTTACAGTGATCATGATTTTCTTGATCTTTGTTTTTCTCCTGGATGCATTTTGTTCTGTGTCTGCAAAAGGTGAGCTGTTTCTGAGTAATCCATGTGTGGGTAACTGTGCATTGTCATTGCTCCTTCATTCTGCCTCTTCTCTGATTAAAAACATAAGTCTATACACGTCTCATGGTTTAAAAAAAAAAAAAAGTGAAATTACTAATAGAGAAGTACAGGTGGTGTTTCTGGAAGGATTGCTTTTTTGCTGTGATATTTATCTTGTTTTGGTTTTGGACTCAAAGTGAATTAAACACAAAATCTGTCCAATCTTTTTTTTGTGTGGTTATTTTCATATTTGCAGCCAGAGCAAATGACAATAAAACAGATCAAAAATATTCAGTTTATGTATGATAAAAATATATTTTTTAAAATAAATGTATAAATTTTGCTTAGCAGTATTTCACCCATTTAATCTTATCTGTTCACTAATTGTTCAGTAAATGTCATAGTCTAAATCCAGTACATAAGTTGATATGGCAAAGTAATCTTTACAGGATATCAGCAGTTTATCTTTTTATATCCAGCAATCTTCCTGTCTGTCCATCCTCAGTGGGTCACCCCACAGCTTTCTGCACTACAGCCATTACTGCCTGCCAGCTTGAGCCACAGCAAGATGTTCAATAGCTGCTTTCTCTTAAGAGATGGTCATCCCTGGTGACAAGGTGACAATAGCCATTACTGGCTGGGGGCAGGGTGGGCGTTTCAGTGGGTTGGGTACCTGCTCTGGTGTATAGGGGTGGCTGTGGTAGCGTGAGGCAGTCTGATATCAGTCTGTTAATTCCTGAGTCCATCTCTGTTAATCTGCTCTGTGTTGTTTCTCTGCTGCAGGTGAGAACAAAACTGCTGTGATCGGAGATGAGGTCATTCTGCCATGTAGTGTTGAGGAATTTATGCCTCTGGAAGTGATGGAGTGGAGCAGAGCTGGAACACATCCAGAATATGTTCTAATTTTCAAAAATCAAAGCTCAGATGTAGATATCCCAGTACAACGCTATGAGGGCCGAGTAGAGCTGATGGACAAAAAGAAAGGAAACATGTCTCTGGTTCTGAAGAACGTGACGGCTGAGGATGGAGGAACATATAAGTGTTATGTTATGAGAGAAACAGGCCGCAGGAAGAGAGCCAACCTTGAAGCTGTCAACACAGTCTACCTGAATGTTCATCCTCGTCCTCCTCCAGGTCTCTTTGTTTCTTGATCAGAACCTCCAGCAGCCTTCTGGTTTACAATGGTTAAACAACATCTAAGATCAGATGTTGGTTTATGTTATTTAATCAGACCGTAGAAAGCAGCTGGTCTGAGAGCTGAATATGCTATGTTCATCTCCTACCTGATGGGTCAGACTAACACCTGGTTCTGTTTAACAGAGAATAAACATACACAAAGGGAGGAAGGAGAGAACAGGGATGGAGGAAACAAGGATGAAGAGGAAACACTTGGAAACAGTCGAGGACATGTTGCATCTATTGTAGCTGCCTTTGTTGCAATGGCTGTTATAGTTTCAGTGATGGTTGATGCTGCGATTAGATGGAAGAAGATCAAGAATTATAGACATTCTCCTCAGGATGAAAAAGAAACACCTCAGATTGCCTGACTTAAAGTTTCACTCTTTCATTGTTTGTGGTTCCCCACTATACCAAACATGTGACCCCCTCTGTGAACGGCTACCTTGTCGTGGTGGAGGGGCTTAAATGATTAACCTCTTCTGGGTGATTAGTTTTAGGTTCTGCCAAACTAGAGGAGGAATCAAACAAAAAGCTGTTCAAATTACTTACACGTGTGTGGTACGGTGTGGGGACCAAGACAATGAAAGAATGTAGAAGTATTGATAGAAAAAGCCATGGTGGATCCTTAAATGTGTAAACGATCATTTTATTTTTGAATAAAAATGGATTTTAGCATCAGAGGATTAAGTGTTATATTTTCTTACAGATAAATATTGTTTATAGATTTTGCTTTTATCCTTTCATTATTCCTTATTCTGAATCACACAGAAATACCTCCTTTCACCTCCTTCACTCCATGGTAGCAAATCGGCCTTGAAATATGTTAGAAATACATCCCAAGAGAGATGTTTTCACATGCTTGATGGTCAGATTTTATTATTTTATTTTCAGCACGTTATAATCTCAGAGTGTTTATCAGGTCATAGGCTCAGGTACTTTTTACCATTGTGCACACATGGTCATCATGCATATATGTAAGTGGGTGATTTTCATGCTGAACTTCTTTGGTTAAGTTCAGGTAAACTTTAGCCTAGAATATTATTCTGTTTTATTCACTCAGTTGTGTCCTAACAGAGCTAACAGGCTAAATATTATAATAAAAAGAAAATTTGAGCCGTTGAAGGAATTGCAAGACCAAAGTTACCTTAGGTTATACATAAAAGAGAAAGTATAATGTAGGCTAATATTTTAAGATGTTTTTTCTTTATTAGTTCAGAGACCTCTGGACTTAAAATGTAAATAAAGCTAAATGGCAGAAGGGCTGAGTTTCATTTCCTCATATCAGTCATTAAAGCTGATATGTCATCCTGTTCAGGCGTGTCTCCAGTAGATTTAATTAACCCTTCCCCCAGTCCAAACATCAGAACCAGTCTGACTCTAACCCGCCCTTTGGTTTTTGTTCCAGGACATACTGCACCTTTGTGCTTGATTTGAATAGAGGACAAACCCAGAAACAGGTTTCTGCCAACATTAAAACTACATTTCCGTGTTTAGGGTTGGGTTCCTCCTGTTTCTCTAAAGAAAATCTAAAGCGTCCTTATTACAGAAGTATAGGATAAAACCCAGACTGCCTGATTTTTAATACAAGCTGCTTTACTTATTTTATTTTCCTTCTCTGTCTGAATTATTAAAGTAAAAGAATATATTTTTTGGTTTAAGTCAGAAAAAACAGTTTTGTCTTTATCAGAGATCATGGCATGACAGTTCTTCATAATGACTCTATTCATCTCTCTCTCTGTTTTGCCTGCAGCAGATAAGGGTAACATCAGCAATCTGATCTTCCTGCACTGTAGGCAAAACTAGGCCAAGATGGCGGCAATTTAACTGTGTCTTCTTTCAGGTTTTGGTTTTCTGCTAACAAATAATTAGATTAGATTAAATATAAATTTATTTTATATTGTGTCAGATCAATGTAGCTCATTTCTGTCTTAAAGATTCTTAACAAATCTAGTTGCCAAACAGTTAATAAAAGAGAAACAGTTTTTTAATTAAAAAAGAAAATTTGCGTTAAGTGAGGAAGATTAAAGTCGTTAAGTTGCAGCAATCTCTTATGGTGAGTGTGCATCTAGCAACACCCTAGAGATGAAGACCCCAGCAAGATTCAAAATGACAAAAAACTGCTTCATTACAAGACTATGGAGTATCACCTTGTGGTCTGAAGACGAGCATATAGTATATTTTCAATCATTATCAATACAAGATGGCTGCTGATTTGATACATCTGCTGATTAGCTTTAAAGAAATGTGTAATATCAAATATTATGACAAGAATGTGACATCTAAAGTTTATGTTGAGCTCTTTACTCTTTGAGTAACTTAAAGGTATACTATGCAACCGGTGCTGATTTTCCAGAGAGGCTCCCCCCAGAGGGCAAAAGTAAAAGTCCACTGTCATAAATATGCTCAGCTGTTCTCCTGGTTTCTCCGTCAAGCCAGGCGCGGTTGTTTTGAGCTTAGCAGACAGGCGACCGCAACGAATCACCATGTCTACTGCGGTAAGTGACTATTTTGTTCCAATTTTCGAGTTTGAAAATTCTCGCTGGTTCCGCCATGATAACTGCAGAAATATCGCCACTGCGCTAGCAACGAGCATGCCTTTCACTGGGGGCGTGTAGCAGTTCTCGCCGTAAAGCAAGACCGACCATCGCCATGCACGAGACTTCTGAGCCTGTGGGTGCGGGCCGAGGGCTCCTGCAATTGCAAGTACGGTATTTCCCTTTGTTCGACCTGAAATGACTCATTTAATCATCCAAAACGTTATGGAACACATTAATTAACTGAAAAATGTTGCATAGTATGCCTTTAAGCTTCAGCTTATGGGACTATATCTATATTTCATGAAGTTCTTAGCCATTGGTATATACCTAACTAGAGTCCTGCACGGGTCGAGTTTTACCAACCCACACCCGCCCGAACCCGTTAGGATGACTACCGAACCGGACCCGTCACCCACGGATATCTTTAATTCAAATCCGAACCTGACCCGACCAGTTGATATTTAACCCACAACCCGACCCGTTAACACATCAAGTAATAGGCTATAGCACGCTGCGCTGCAGAACAGCGCCATTAACACTGCAGCAGACGTGTATGCACTGACTGTGGCCTTTTTGGAGGGAAGCCCACACTGCCGGCAGGGCTTTAAGCTACAACAAGGGTGACCCCAGTGCCTGATTAATACAACATTTCTGATGTCCATAACAACACACACGCATAAAAAAAAAATCACCAACTACCCGCCCGCACTAAAAAATATCCGCCCGACCCCCAACCCGTTTATTTTTATTTATGTATTTTTCACCCGCAAAAGAGCATTTTTGCAGGTGACCCGTCGGGGACCCACGGGTACCCGACCCGTTGCAGGACTCTATACCTATCCACCGATAATATTAGATCATATGCAATCTTGTATGCCAAAGTTATTTTATTTTTATTTATCTTTAATAACAAATTAAGAAAATGGCAACTAAGAAGTTTGCATAACACATATATTAATGGGAAAGAAATCTGAACTTCATGTCAGAGGAACTAAGGTGGTGAAGCAGATGGGCCTGTTTGAGTTGATGAAGGAAGGAAGGCAACTGAAGGCTGTGATCCAAGAGAAAGACAAGAAGATTGAAGAACTGGAGCAAAAAGTTGAATATTTGGAGCAATAAACAAGACTGGATGACCTGGTGATATCTGGCCTTGAGACAAACCACTGCTACTACGCATGGATTACAGCACATGACCAGCGGGGAGAAGATGCACCAAGAGGTGAGCGGCATTCCCTTCAACAGTAGATTAAGTTCCTTCAGAAAAAACATGTCTTTGGACTGTAAAACTATATCTGCCTTCAAAACAGGGAGGAAAACTGACGGGTACAGTAATATGTATGAATGAGCATCTTACAAGGAGAAATTATGAAATTGCAAACTAAAACTAAAAATTTTAATGTGTGTTTTTTTTTCTGTAAATAAAGAATTATGCTGCCAATTTTAGATAGTTTGATCTATAAGAAATAAAATGAGTTAGGAAATATCATTGAAACAGAACCACTTCCATCAGACAATGAATATGACTTGTGAGTACAATTCTGAACATAACTAAAACCGTGAACCAGATGGTTTTTCATTTTTCCATTTTAACAGCAGGAGTCGTTACAACAGTTTTTCCAAAATAAAAGATTATTTTCAACAACTCCAGACAAAATCCAGTGGAACTGGCTTAGCGATGACAGTGAACTGAAAGATAGATCAGAGGGTTATGAAATGGATACCCAAAACACAGCTAACAAAAGCGGAGGGGTGTGGCTTGTGTATGAGGTCAGAATTTAAATGTAAGGTTATTGATGTCAATAACTATAGACAATCTGATGGGGGAAAAAACCCTGTAATAATTAGCTGTTTTTAAAGAACACCAGGGTCCTGTATTGATCAATTTATGAAAAGAATTTCTGATTTATACGAAAAGCATGATGCAAATGTGATTCTGGTTTGTGGTGATTTTAATATGGATATGTTGAAAACATGATGTGAAAACTGGTGAATATGTTAACACTATGTTCAGTTTGAACATGTTTTCCTTAATTTTGAAGTCAATTGGAAAATGCAACAACACTGCAACAAATTTTTTTATAAATATAATTAACCAGAAGATTAAAAGCTAATTGTTGGTAATAGATTTAAGGGATTATTTACTGGTTTTTGCTGTTAAGTGTTGAGGATGAACTAGTATCATGTCTTTAAAAATATTCATGTATATTATCCTGTTTTCCAGACCATAAGCCATTACTTTTTACCCTCACTTTAAGCCATGCTGTTTATGCAAAGGTGTTATTTTACTGTTGATTTTCCTTCAACCGACAGCGGACGGAACTCAAAGTTGGAAATCAAAGAAGTAGTTAATATTCTTTTAGCACAACAACATGCTAGTAGCAGGAACAATGGAGAACAGATGTCCAGAATTCACACTTTCTGACATTTATGTGCTGGATTAAAGCTGCTGAACCAAAAGAGACTGGGCCCAACTACTGCAGAGCTGAAATAAAGATGGGACGAAGCCCCATCTTTCAGTAGAAGCTCTTAAGCCGGGCATGGACTGTACAATATTTACAATCATTCCACGCAGCTATAGCTCAAACTGTACAACAAAACTGCAGGGTTTAAAAGTTCACAGTTCACAATGTTTGTTCTCACACTGTGCAACCAACCGCTCTGATGCGATCTACCTGCTCACACTGTACGTCTAAAAACCAGGTGGGACTCAGCTCCGCAGTGAGATGGCGCTACTGGAACTCGTCTATCCGCAAGCCAAACGAGTAGAAGAGGAATATGAAGCTCACTAGAGTGAAAGGTGCTGCCTTGGTAATTTGTGCAATTTTGCAAGAAAAGGCAATGACATATTTGGACAAAGACATGGCTGAGCAAACGTTGCTA